ATTTGGGAATAATGCTACTTAGTAAGCTTTATTTAATGGTTTATTTTTTTATTTTTTCATTTTTATTTAATTTTTTTTTCTGCTTTTTTTCCTTTGGTTTTTGCTTTTACCGGAATAAAGTCATGATGTTCATCATCAAACATTTGGATTAAAGAAAAACTTTTCTCAACCATTTTTTACCTTCTGGGATCGCGTTCTTGGAACTTATTTACCTCATAATGATGTACCAAAACATTTAGCAGAGAAAAAATTCTCATCCAGAGGTATTACCGATGATGATGGTTCCCAAGTCTTAAAAAAGTCTGAAACTACGGAATCCAGAACCGCGTCTAAAAGATACAATTTGAGATCGAGAAAAAATCTTTCTTGAAAATGGTTTTTTGATTATTTATGGTAAGAAGAAATTTTTTGAATTCTATTACTTTAAAAAATCACTGATATGAATTTTTTTTCCTTTTTCTTTTTTTTTTTTTGTAGGTTATTACGTGGCTCCCAATTGTATTTATATGTTTGTAGATTAATATATAAAAACATTCTGTAGTTTTATTTGACTAGAACCAAAACTATTTATGAATGTCATTTTTCTCACTAAATTTAAACATTGGATCATTCGTACGCATATATATAATTACTATATAATAATAAATGTATAAAACAACAAATAATACTTGAATCACACTCATATTTGTCACGTGATATATTCACAATTTTTTGCTCAAAAACACAATGTCCATATAATTTAGTGAGAAACGGGTAAATCGTGCGGTAAACTTTAATTGTACGTAAGACGAATGTGATCACATTTGTGTTACGTTCGACGGTTATGAAAAGTAAATTATATCCTTGGAAAAGATGGTTCAGCTCCTTCGACACATAACTGACTAATATAGAAACCAGTGAAAATATTTATGATGTAAAATATTAGTACAAGTTGCTAATTTTAATTTCCTTTAAAAAAAATTTTTTTTTTAAGGCTAAAAACCTTAACGTTTTTGATAATCTACCCCGTTCCGTAAATTTCCGTATATTTAAGCAAATATTCTCATCTAATTCGTTCTTAATCTCTTGCCATTGTATCTACGTATTCGTAAACTATCAAAAATTATGTCTTATAATTCTGTTTCGGGTGTTGCGGTTCTTGGTCCAGTAAATGATATTCAAGCTCAAATACTCACTACTGGGGCTCTCGAATTTCTTGCAAAACTTCATAGAGCATTCAATCCTACTAGGAAGTCTCTACTTCAACGTCGAGTTCTTCGACAACAGGAATTAGACCGTGGTGTTCTTCCTGATTTTTTACCAGAAACTGCTCACATAAGAGAAGATGATACTTGGCGTGGTGCTTATCCTGCCCCTGGATTGGTTGACAGGCGTGTTGAAATCACTGGTCCAGTCGATAGAAAAATGGTTATCAATGCCTTAAATTGCGGTTCTTCTACTTATATGGCAGATTTTGAAGGTAATTGCAAATTTCTATGCGATCTACAATTACAAACTTATTTCTAATGTTGATCATTTTATATATTATTAACCACAGATTCTAATGCACCAACATGGGAGAATAATCTTGATGGTCAAGTAAATTTACGTGATGCAATTCGTGGAACCATAACTTATACCAATCCTGCAAATAACAAGAAATACTCTTTACGTAAAGATGGTAAAACTGCTGTCTTGATCGTACGGTAAATTCTACTTATTAAACTTTTTGATATACTGTATCATTATATTTGAATTGTTCTAAATTTATTATTATTATCATATGAATTAGTCCTCGTGGTTGGCATTTAGAAGAAAAACATGTTGTAATCGATGGTGCACCTATATCCGCTTCAATTTTTGATTTTGCTTTATACTTTTATCATAATGCAAAGAAATTAATTGAATGCGGTGTCGGTCCTTATTTCTACTTGCCAAAAATGGAATCTCATTTGGAAGCAAGGTAGCTTATAATCATTTTTACATATATATATATATATATATTTATATTTATATTTTTTTACATTGTTAATTTAATAACTATTTTATTTGCTACAAAGGTTATGGAATGATATTTTTAATGTTTCACAAGACATTATCGGTATTCCCCGTGGTACTATTCGCGCCACTGTTTTAATCGAAACAATTCTTGCTGCATTTGAAATGGATGAAATC